AGTGAAAGAGAGAAGCTGGTTTGGAATGAGCCTCTGCTAGGGCTTCTGCTTCTTTGGTAGCAGCGGAGGCGGCTCCTTTCTTTCCCCTTCGTTTACCTGGATCCACACACAAAATAAAAACCGGGAGCATTGTGGAAAAAGGGGAAATCCTTCCAGAATTTTTAAAAAAAAAACCAAAAATTGGATTGAAAAAATCATTTATTATTTTTACTTTTTCTCTAAGTAATGCATTTTTAAAAAAATTTATTTCACTTCTTATTATTTGTGAATTGTACTTAATTGAGTTTTATTTTATGTAGATAAATTTACAAACATTGAGAAACATTTGGATGCTATCAAGTAGGGATGACAATTCAACTCAAACCCGATCTTAACCGCCTAACCAAAGACTAAAATATTTAAACCCGAGTCAAGAATAAAATAATCCGAACCTGACCCAAAATTTTTTACCTGAACCCAACATTGGGTCGGGTGTGGGTTTATAATTTTACCCAACCCAACCCCAAATATTTTATAACCTAAAATCATGTATATGGATACAATAAGTACTCTGTATACCAAATATGCCTTTTATCGTTATTTTTATAATTTCTCAATAAAAATGCGATATAAAAAAAAGAGACACAAAAGAATTTAGATTTATTTTTTTATAAAAAATCTTGGGGTACGTTGAATCGGTAATTGGTTAAATTACAGGTTCGGTTTTCGGGTGTAAATGTTAGGTCGGATTGGATTTTTTGTTTGAAAGTCTGGTTTCGAGTCGGGTTTTGGGTTTCACCATTAAAATTCAGGTCGAGTTTGGGTATAGTACTATCCGACATGAACCCAACATGTTGTTATCCCTAATAGTTAAGAATTGATGACAAAGACATTATGGTCCAACAAGATCACTATGATACTTCAATGGAACAAAAAAATTACTATTTTTTAGCTTTGGATGTATAATAGAACAAAGTAAAATATATCTCTAGATTGCTTGTGCTTCTTTAATAAATAAAGCAACACCTAGTCAATCAATACAATTTTCGATGCTAAGTTGGAGGTCCCTTTGGGAACAGTGTCTCTACCTTGAGTAGGGGTAAGATTTACATACACACACTTTCCTCATACCATACTTTTGTGGAATTTAACTGATTGTTGTTGTTCGTATCATGTTGACTCTCTCAAATGGAAGATTGCAGCTTTGAAACACACTGGATGCGACATCGACTTTTTATCCTTCAATAAGTTGAAAAGATATATCTGAATATATAAAGATTGATTCCATTGTTACAATTTGACATGATTTTTATATTTGTCACTTTGTTGTATAAATATTGTTATTGATTGTTTCTTTGCTTTCTAAAATATAAAATAAATTCTCATAAACATTGTAAACATACGAATCCATTTAAAAATAATATCAACCAGACATTGTAAACAACAACATACAATTTAAAAAGGGATATAGGAAATAACATTTTACTTTACTAATCTTATAAAGTTGCATAAAAAGTAATGTAAATTCACATTTGAATCTAAATGTTTGTTTGTATCGCATCTTGGGGAAAATTGTCATATTTTCCCGTATTATCTCATCTAAATAAATAAATATACGTTCATACGAAACAACATGACGAAATGAAAAAATATTTATGTATCCCAGCTATCATCCAATTTAAAAATGGTTTAAAACATGTTCAAAATAAAATTTTATCATCACAAACAAAATAATGAATAAAATATTAGAGGTGACTAGAACTCTTGCCTCTTGGGAGGACATCTGAATTCAAAATAACTGGCAGATGTGTAATTATGCCCAATTCTTTGGTTAATTCAGCAAACGTCTTATGATAAATAGCAGAAATTTTCACCGGGTTCCTTGCCGTCGCATCTTCCGGGATCTCCACAGCCGGCGAGAGGTAAACGACTTTCTCTCTCTCTATCATCTTTGTTTTGAATCATCCCAACAGTTCGCCGTTATTTCTACTGCGGAGTATCCAGATACGATCTGCTTAGCAGTAATGGTTCTGCATTTCAATTTGCTGTTAATCTGACGCTTAATGACTATTCATGTCATTTCTCCCCTAATTCATGCTTTGATCTCCTTCATCAACTTGGTTTTGAATTGAATGAAGTTGAAGCTGTTTTTTAAGTATTGGAGCTCGATTTGGTTGTCTGTGTGTACATTTTAATGTTTTACTGAGTATTTCTCAATGAACCTTTGCTCGTTGACTTTTTTTTCAGCTCTCATTTCTGCCTCTTTGATTGAGGAGGTTTGCATAGTTTGTGTTGGGGTGTGGTGTTAAACTGAGGTTTTAAGTTTGAGATTACTCAAAGCTTTTGATCTGCTTTCTGTCAATTATGGACCTTCATTTTGATTTGACTAAACTAAAGTCTAATTGCCAGCATTTGCATTTTGGATTCCTGATTTGTTTAAAAAAATGGTTTGGGTTTTAGTTAATGCATTGTTTCAATAACAAACTCAATGTTGAAGGAGACTGTGGACATTTGAAAGCTATCAGATCTGGTATCGAGTGCCATAGTGCACTTGCTACAAAGTCAAGATTGTTTCTGTCGGGGCATGTTTGAATCACTAAATATGATGGGGTAAATGAAAAAAATGTTTTGGATCCACCCCATTCCTTTTGGCTGGCTTTACCTTGTAAAATGCATACTGCAAAGTAAAATAAAAATGATTGATTTTTAATTTTACAAAGATATTTAAATCTTGTTGCCTCTCCAAATGAAATAAAGAAGGAAAACGAGCTGGAACGAATATCTAAAGTAAATTAATTGAATTTAAGTGTATCCTATNTTCCAGCTCGTTTTCCTTCTTTATTTCATTTGGAGAGGCAACAAGATTTAAATATCTTTGTAAAATTAAAAATCAATCATTTTTATTTTACTTTGCAGTATGCATTTTACAAGGTAAAGCCAGCCAAAAGGAATGGGGTGGATCCAAAACATTTTTTTCATTTACCCCATCATATTTAGTGATTCAAACATGCCCCGACAGAAACAATCTTGACTTTGTAGCAAGTGCACTATGGCACTCGATACCAGATCTGATAGCTTTCAAATGTCCACAGTCTCCTTCAACATTGAGTTTGTTATTGAAACAATGCATTAACTAAAACCCAAACCATTTTTTTAAACAAATCAGGAATCCAAAATGCAAATGCTGGCAATTAGACTTTAGTTTAGTCAAATCAAAATGAAGGTCCATAATTGACAGAAAGCAGATCAAAAGCTTTGAGTAATCTCAAACTTAAAACCTCAGTTTAACACCACACCCCAACACAAACTATGCAAACCTCCTCAATCAAAGAGGCAGAAATGAGAGCTGAAAAAAAAGTCAACGAGCAAAGGTTCATTGAGAAATACTCAGTAAAACATTAAAATGTACACACAGACAACCAAATCGAGCTCCAATACTTAAAAAACAGCTTCAACTTCATTCAATTCAAAACCAAGTTGATGAAGGAGATCAAAGCATGAATTAGGGGAGAAATGACATGAATAGTCATTAAGCGTCAGATTAACAGCAAATTGAAATGCAGAACCATTACTGCTAAGCAGATCGTATCTGGATACTCCGCAGTAGAAATAACGGCGAACTGTTGGGATGATTCAAAACAAAGATGATAGAGAGAGAGAAAGTCGTTTACCTCTCGCCGGCTGTGGAGATCCCGGAAGATGCGACGGCAAGGAACCCGGTGAAAATTTCTGCTATTTATCATAAGACGTTTGCTGAATTAACCAAAGAATTGGGCATAATTACACATCTGCCAGTTATTTTGAATTCAGATGTCCTCCCAAGAGGCAAGAGTTCTAGTCACCTCTAATATTTTATTCATTATTTTGTTTGTGATGATAAAATTTTATTTTGAACATGTTTTAAACCATTTTTAAATTGGATGATAGCTGGGATACATAAATATTTTTTCATTTCGTCATGTTGTTTCGTATGAACGTATATTTATTTATTTAGATGAGATAATACGGGAAAATATGACAATTTTCCCCAAGATGCGATACAAACAAACATTTAGATTCAAATGTGAATTTACATTACTTTTTATGCAACTTTATAAGATTAGTAAAGTAAAATGTTATTTCCTATATCCCTTTTTAAATTGTATGTTGTTGTTTACAATGTCTGGTTGATATTATTTTTAAATGGATTCGTATGTTTACAATGTTTATGAGAATTTATTTTATATTTTAGAAAGCAAAGAAACAATCAATAACAATATTTATACAACAAAGTGACAAATATAAAAATCATGTCAAATTGTAACAATGGAATCAATCTTTATATATTCAGATATATCTTTTCAACTTATTGAAGGATAAAAAGTCGATGTCGCATCCAGTGTGTTTCAAAGCTGCAATCTTCCATTTGAGAGAGTCAACATGATACGAACAACAACAATCAGTTAAATTCCACAAAAGTATGGTATGAGGAAAGTGTGTGTATGTAAATCTTACCCCTACTCAAGGTAGAGACACTGTTCCCAAAGGGACCTCCAACTTAGCATCGAAAATTGTATTGATTGACTAGGTGTTGCTTTATTTATTAAAGAAGCACAAGCAATCTAGAGATATATTTTACTTTGTTCTATTATACATCCAAAGCTAAAAAATAGTAATTTTTTTGTTCCATTGAAGTATCATAGTGATCTTGTTGGACCATAATGTCTTTGTCATCAATTCTTAACTATTAGGGATAACAACATGTTGGGTTCATGTCGGATAGTACTATACCCAAACTCGACCTGAATTTTAATGGTGAAACCCAAAACCCGACTCGAAACCAGACTTTCAAACAAAAAATCCAATCCGACCTAACATTTACACCCGAAAACCGAACCTGTAATTTAACCAATTACCGATTCAACGTACCCCAAGATTTTTTATAAAAAAATAAATCTAAATTCTTTTGTGTCTCTTTTTTTTATATCGCATTTTTATTGAGAAATTATAAAAATAACGATAAAAGGCATATTTGGTATACAGAGTACTTATTGTATCCATATACATGATTTTAGGTTATAAAATATTTGGGGTTGGGTTGGGTAAAATTATAAACCCACACCCGACCCAATGTTGGGTTCAGGTAAAAAATTTTGGGTCAGGTTCGGATTATTTTATTCTTGACTCGGGTTTAAATATTTTAGTCTTTGGTTAGGCGGTTAAGATCGGGTTTGAGTTGAATTGTCATCCCTACTTGATAGCATCCAAATGTTTCTCAATGTTTGTAAATTTATCTACATAAAATAAAACTCAATTAAGTACAATTCACAAATAATAAGAAGTGAAATAAATTTTTTTAAAAATGCATTACTTAGAGAAAAAGTAAAAATAATAAATGATTTTTTCAATCCAATTTTTGGTTTTTTTTTTAAAAATTCTGGAAGGATTTCCCCTTTTTCCACAATGCTCCCGGTTTTTATTTTGTGTGTGGATCCAGGTAAACGAAGGGGAAAGAAAGGAGCCGCCTCCGCTGCTACCAAAGAAGCAGAAGCCCTAGCAGAGGCTCATTCCAAACCAGCTTCTCTCTTTCACTCCACATGGAAGGTAACGATTTCGATCGGCTTCTCTTCTTCGAGCACGCTCGCAAGACTGCTGAAACCGTTTACGAGAAGAATCCTCGCGACGCCGATGTACGGTTTCCTCTCCTATCTCCCATCTGTTTGTGTGTCCTCTGTAGTGTGGACGTTAAGCTTTATCTGTCTGATTTATTTGTTTTTTATGTTTATTTTGATTAACGTTTGCAGAATTTGACGAGATGGGGCAGTGCTTTACTCGAGCTGTCCCAATTCCAGCCGGTTCCGGAATCCAAACAGATGATTATTGGTATATATATATATATATATATATATATATATATTTCTATGAAGAGTTGATACATTTGGTTTGATTATTTGGACTTCAAGGAATAAATTTCAATTCAATACCTTGAAAATCTCGTTGCCGTGGAAGTGTAGGAAATAGTTTGTTGTTGTTGTTGTTGCTGATTTTGACACAGAGAAATAATTTTAGTGCAGACATAAAAAATAAGACACTGAGAGAAGTTATTTCCTGATTGGATGTAATTGGAAAATAGTAATATAAATGAATCCATGGGTTTTTTGGTTACCCTTATCCGGAATATCTCTTTGCAAATCTTTGATTTTCTCTGTTTAAAAATGGTTTTAAATGGTTACCGGATGTGTTCACTTATTAATGGTTAAGACTTCCCTTTTATGATGTTATATTCCAATACTGTTCCTGAAAGACCTCCCCTCCTCCTATGAGAAACCAGTGTTGATGAGCTTTAATTCTACATGTATGTGATGGGAAAATTGATTTTGTAGAGTGCATTTCAAAGTTGGAGGAGGCAATACTCATCAACCCGCAAAAAGGTGATGCCTTGTGGTGTCTCGGAAATGCACATACATCTAATGCATTCTTGACTCCTGATAAAGAGGAAGCACGGGGTTATTTTGATGAAGCTGCTGAATGTTTTGAACGAGCAGTGAATGCGGTATTCTAATGAAGCTTTTGCATGTATATGGACATATAACAAGCAATGCGCTTGGCTTTCCTCTGTTATTTATATATGTATTTTTTATTTTATGCAGGATCCGGGGAATGAACTTTACTGTAAATCTTTGGAAGTTGCTGCTAGGGTATGAAATCCTACATTATCATTTAGTCAATTACAGACTTGCTATTTGTTACTTGTTAGAACTTAGATGTATGTACTTGCTATTCCTTCAAGGTTGAAGTTTTCACTTATCTTTTTTTGTTCAATGTGCCTTTTGTATTAAGAATTTAAGATACTCTTACTAGGAATGCTCTTTTATTTGTTCATCATCTTTGACAAATTCACTTGCATTTGCCATTGACTATTTGCTAAAGATTTTTCCTGTTCAGAATTCTGCAAACTGAGAGATTCTTTTTTCCTTCTTTTCCCCCCACAATTTTGAAAAAACTTAAGAGAGGGAAAGTTTGATTTTCATATTTTCTTATTGATATTATTTCCTAGATAAAACTTTTTTAATAACAATTTAATAACTTTTTATGTGGTAGGGGTCTGAAGCTTCCATGTTATTGTTGAAAGAACAAGTTAACATGCTTCAGCTTTGCTTAAATGCCACTCAATGGGATCATCATAGTTTTAAAGTTGCAAACTCAGACCCCTACCACATTATATGGTCATGAGAATTTTTAGATTTATTATCTTTTTCTGTGGATGGATGATCCAGATTGTCATTATAAGCCAGTTGTTCTCTTTTAGTTTCATCCTGGTCTGAAAGGGCTCTGTTTCCCACTTTCTCCCCACCTATGAAGAATTTACTTACTTTGGGTTTTTGGAATCATTTCAATTTTGTTTTTAAAGTTAATGAAACACAAGAGAATAAATGTTTGATTTCTTTTAGTTTTTGCACAAGGCAATAGTTCATACAGAATTACAGATTATGTTTTACTTTTGACAAACACAGCGTCTATTTGAAATGCAAGCAACATATGGGCTTTTTACTAAGCTTAAATTTTAGTATAAGTCAACAATTGATATGTAGGGTTTGACCCCCACCCCCAAACAATGTGGAGTTGGCTTACGTGACAATTTTTTTTATTTAGGCTCCAGAGTTGCACGCGGAAATCCACAAGCAGGGTGCAATGCAACAAGCTATGGGGGCAGGACCTTCTACTTCTTCTTCAACTACAAGGGTATTACCACCCCCGTCCCAAAAACAAACTGCTCACAGTGTCTAACTTTGACTGCTTTCTTTGTCTATTTTCATTACTTATTTGATACGGAGTAAAATAGTAGTCTTGCTACCCCTTGTTTTGTAGAGCTATACGGAGTAAACTCTATTTTTTAATTCCATGCCAATTTTCAAATAAATACAAATTAAAATATCATAACCCGCAACACAAAAGATTTTCTCCGACCAAGTGAGTAAATTTCTGACATTTTAATAGATTTGTCCCATTACTATTTGTACCATTTTCTGTTGGTGTTACTCGAGCTGATGTCTCTTGGAAATAGTCTCTCTACTTTCAAGTATGAGTAAGGTCTGTGTAACTGGGTTGTTGTTGTACTATTTGTACCATGATGATACCTTTTCGTGGACTGTGCTATTTGATTATACTGCTTTAGTGTCTCTCACTTCAATGTCCTTAAAGCCATTAAAGTATAAAGATATTTGCAACCTACATGCCCGCTCAACAAATTCTTACACTATGTTTGGTTCGTGGAATTTGAAAGGAAAGGAAAAGAAAAGTGTTCTTTTCTTTTCATCTCTAATTTTCAACAAATGCAAACCAAAACCACCACACCCCATCTCTTTACTTGAAAAAGAACTAGTGGCCAATGACCCAACAGTCTTTATGATTTCTCAGGTTGTACCTCCCTCGTTGCAGAAACGTTATATTCTGTTTGTGTTTACTAAATGTTTCTTTCTTCATTGTAATTTTTTGAATCAGCAGCAGAGCTTAAAGAACAAGAAGAGCAGTGATCTGAAGTATGACATATGTGGGTGGGTCATTCTTGCTATTGGCATTGTTGCGTGGGTCGGGTTTGCAAAATCTCAGCCTCCTCTTCCTCCTCCCCAACCAAGATAAAGCTTTCTTTATCCCCCCTCAGCTACATGCTACTTGCTGGAGCCTGGTAAAAAAATTCCTCATGTTTGGTGGTGCATTTGACCTTTTCTTGACTTCTTATGAGACCCTTTGGAAGAGTGGCTAAAACACACGGATTTTCCCTCTTTTTTGTTCTGTTAAAGTTTGAATAATTAGTTCCTTTTTTAAAAACCTTATTACCTTATCATATAGCTTTTGATAAGTTGCATGACTTGCTCTATGTTTTGTATGCCAAATTATTTGTCCCCCCCCCTCACAACCCTAGACTGATCACAGTTTAGTTACTTCATAAACTACTACGGAGTACATTTTCAATCTCGTGATTGTCACTTTCTTTATCTATTGTCATTAGTCATCTGATAAAATAATATAGTGATGTCATTACTAGTTTTGTTGATCTGTTGATATATTTTTTAAAAACAATTTTTCATATAAAATGATTTGAAATTAACTTCAGTCAAACATTGAAAATTAAACAGATAATTTAAATTGAGATGAAAGAAGTATTACTTTGTTTTAAATTTTCAATATAAATTTTAAATATTAACAATAGAAACTATTTTTTTAAGAAAAAAGCATTTTCTTTTTTACCAAACGACGGACAATATGGTTGGAAAATAATTTTTTTCTAACCAAAACACACCTTTTAAGTTTTTAACTCATTTTTTTTCGTTTCAAATGCTTGTACAACATGTGGAAACTTTAGAGATGCAATTTATCCTTATTTCTGTAGAGGCTATTCCTTTTTTCTCACAAAACAATTTCATATTACTATTTACATAATCAAACCATATAATTATACTCCGTGTGATATATGCTGCAACTTTTAAATACGATGTAATTTTTATTTTTAAGTTATACGGAGATCCGAGTATATATATTTAGGGCATGTTTGGTAATAGAGTTAGAGATTAGCGTTAGCGTTTTCAAAAGGTCATTTACGGACAGCGTTTAGCGTTAGCGTTTTCAAATTAATCTGCACCGTTAAAATTTTATCCAAAACGCTAACGCTAATCTCTATCTCCGTAATATAGAGTTAAAATATAAAATTTATTTGCAGGCTTCTTTCATCATAAATTTGTTTACAACTTAACATTATGAGAGTTAAGAAAATTTTAAAAAGTGAAAAGTGTAGCAATAAGATTTGTTTTGATGATAAACTTTTCTTTGTGAGGAACATATTCAAAATAATTCAAAAAAGCAAAGCGTGAATTGTTTTTTGGATGTTTGAAATTAGTAAGTGGATAGATGTTTTTGAGACGGAGTACATATTAGCATATCTTGTATTTTTTAAATATACGTTAAATGTTTTACTCGGTACAAAATCATGGCTAGCATTTTTAGTATATAATGAATATAAATAAAATAATTAAAAACGACGTCTTAATTTCTCTATTTGAATAATAACATAAAAATAATTTTACATTTAACTGGATACAATTATTAATAAGTACTAAGTCGAAATCTGAAAGAGTAATAATGTGAAAGCAAAACTAATAAAATAGAAGTAAATGAAGACAAAATACCAACATACAAACTTTATATTTAGAAAACAATATGAATTGCAGTATCAATGATGTTAATTTACAATATTAAAAAACATGGTACAATACCAATATACAGTGTCACATTGTGACAATATAAATTTATTTTAATTATAAAAATAATGAAACTTCTATTCTTAAAATAAAAGTTATGCTATACTCCTATGTCAGATTCTTTTTTTTTATGTAAATCATATAGTCATTCCTCAAGAAAAAATATATTGTATTTTGGAAAGAAAAAGAGTAAATATTTAATACTCTATCCGTTTCGATTTTAATTACTCCGTATAATTTTATTGTTCTCTCTCCTCGCGATAATCTTTTTTATTGGAGTATTTTCATTGATTATTTAATAAAATAAAATATTCTTATTACCTTTATTTTTGTGAAACTTTAAATTTAATTTTTTAAGATGTAATTTTTATTTTATATTGATTATCAATTTATAAACAAAATAATTGAAAAAATCATAAAATTTTATATCGTAATTCTTATTTTATAATCAAAATAGTTTGAGAGAATAAATTACTTTTACACATAGAAAAAGATGGGAATCTTACATGTCACGATTCACAACTCACAAGGCGCCATCTTGACGTAGGCGGGAGATGATAAAATAATTTAAATTTAAAACCCCCCAAATATTTGAAATTTGCGTTCATTCTCCCGCAAGCTTCTCACCCAAATTTCAAATTCCCCGCTCTTTCCCATTTTTACCCCCCAAATCTCACCTATATATAAAACCGCCCCTACCCTTCCCCTCTGTCATCTCAATTTCTCATTTCTTCTTCACCCCAAAACCCTAGAAACTCCATAGCCGAATTCTCCTAAGAAAAAGTATGCCGTCGATTCCCGAAGAGCCCCTCCTCGCCCCGAATCCGGATCGATTCTGCATGTTCCCCATCCAGTATCCCCAAATCTGGGAGATGTACAAGAAGGCCATGGCGTCCTTCTGGACCGCGGAGGAGGTCGATCTCTCTCAGGACGTCCGCCAGTGGGAAGCCCTCACCGCCGACGAGCAGCACTTCGTGAAGCACGTGCTTGCCTTCTTCGCCGCATCCGATGGAATCGTCCTTGAGAATCTCGCCGGACGGTTCATGAAAGAGGTCCAAGTCGCGGAGGCGCGCGCTTTCTACGGATTCCAGATCGCCATTGAGAATATCCATTCCGAGATGTATAGTCTTCTTTTGGAGACCTACATCAAGGATTCTGCCGAGAAGGACAGGCTTTTTCACGCGATTGACACCATTCCGTGTGTGGAGAAGAAGGCCAAGTGGGCCCTGCGATGGATTGACGGATCTGAATCGTTTGCCGAACGGCTTCTGGCTTTTGCTTGTGTCGAGGGTGTCTTCTTCTCCGGAAGCTTCTGTGCCATTTTCTGGCTCAAAAAGCGCGGGTTGATGCCCGGATTGGCCTTCTCTAACGAACTGATCTCTCGTGATGAGGGCTTGCACTGCGATTTTGCTTGCATGCTCTACGGATTGCTGAAGAGGAAGCTGAGTGAGGAACGCGTGAAGGCGATCATTGCGGATGCTGTTGAGATTGAGAGAGAATTTGTCTGTGATGCGCTCCCGTGTGCTCTTGTAGGCATGAATGGGAATCTCATGAGCCAATACATAGAATTTGTGGCCGATAGGCTGCTGGGCGCATTGGGTTGCAGTAAACTTTACAATGTCCAAAACCCATTTGATTGGATGGAGCTCATCAGCTTACAGGGGAAGACGAACTTCTTTGAGAAGAGGGTCGGAGAGTACCAGAAGGCCTCTGTCATGTCCAGCTTGAATGGTAATGGATTTGATGCCCATGTTTTCAAGTTGGATGAGGATTTCTAATTTGTGATTCAAACCCATTTAGTTGCTTTCTCTGTTTCTTGTAAGTTGATGTGATCAAGTGGATGTAAGAAAGGGTCCCATGACACTGTTCAGGGACTGAAATCTTTCTTGTTTCTGTCAAAATCTGGATTTTATCTGGAATTGTTGCTTATATATTGTACTGTAAGTTTTAAGTAGGATTTGATTTTCTGAAATAAGTTAGTGCTTTGATCTCTCTTTCACTTTTCCTGGCATTTTCCAAGTTCCAAATACAGTAGATCTTAACATCTATGGGATGGACTTTTGAATCTTCAAGTTAGCTCTACATTGGAAACTTATCATTATCAGTATAAGTGTATTGGGTTCCTTTCTACCTATTGCTTTGGAGATGGTCAGAAATCATCATGAGTTTAAGTGGAACAAGATTTCACCTTCAATCAAATTCACAATCAAGATTTCCAATTGCATTGTATTTCTTGCTATGGAAAGATGATACACTGCAGTTCTTTACTCGAATTTGAGAAATAAGTTCAAATGGAGGGTAACAAACACCAACTCACACATCCCACATGATTCATGACCCAAACGCTTTTATTTTTCTTCTTGTCCTTTATATCCTCATTGTGTTGTCATTTGAAACATTTCTCTCGAGGTGCATGCTCGTAAAGTTTAGGAAAGTGAAAAGTGACATTTGTTTTGAATCTCGATGACCTGAGTTTTCTACGTAACTCTATTTGTAAATTTGATGATTGGGTACTAAGTATTTTGGTTAAGAATTATTGGTTTGGTATGATTGGGTATTGTTTTCGCTACATACCTGAGATCAATACATATGCATCTAATTTATACTTAATGTATCAAATTTTTCTATTTTTGAAAAAATCACAAGTGCTTTTAAATAAAGAAGCATAAAAATTGAAAAGTGTGTAATTAAATACTACTTCCGTCCTACTGTCTTTGTCCACATTTGACTTTTGGAATTGTTCATCTAAGCACTTTGACTCATTAAATTCTCTCAATGTGTAAGCATAAAAATAGTCATGTGTGATCTTGTTTGATTCGTCTTAACATATAGATTATTAATATATAATTTTTATAATTTTTTAATATACAAATTACAAGATAAAATGGATTAAAGAAGTGCATTGGATAGTGTGCCAAATGGTAAGTGGACAAAGACAGTGGGACAGTGGGAGTATGTAGTACAAAGAATATGTATATAACTTAGTTTATATTCCGCAAATTAAAGAGAATAAATGATCAAAAAATACTATTTATGCTTGGTAATACTTCTTGGTCTATTTTTTATCATTTTGCTTTAACTTTTTTTTGGGATAGAGAAAGTAGTATAAATGTTTGGTTTGGAAGTTTTGGTATGAGTAGAGGGAGTAGTTACTTCAAATCATTCCCAAATATCTAGTATTTTTTGTTTAGCTTTTTCCAATTTTTTGAAAAGTTTTGAGATCATTTCGACATTTGCTCCCTCCTCGGTAATTTATTGACATGAGATGGAAATACTCAGTATTACGTAAAGACAGTTTAGAACGTAAGAATCAGTTTTGTGTAATAGATATTAGCTTTATGAACACAATCCGTATCAACCCGTGGAGTTGGCCGAGTCGGTCTAAGGCGCCAGATTAAGGTTCTGGTCCGAAAGGGCGTGGGTTCGAATCCCACACTCCACATTCATTTTTCCTTTTTTAAACTTTTTTTTTGCACATCAGTTTTCGACCACAATAATCTTGTCGCATTCTATTTCTCCCCCCATAACAAGGCCAATTCCTCTTTTAGCCCCTATATTACTTCACATCCTATTCCCACACCTCCAAAGTTTCTTGCTTTTTGGCCCCTGGTGTTTTAGCGGATAAATTTTTTTATTTTGTGAAATCTGCGGTTCCCCTCCTGCCACCAGCGCAACCTCTCGAAACCCAACGCCGGCGGAATGGCGGCGGCGATGACCGTTAGTTTCAGCTTAGTAGGAGCTTTCAAGCGGTTATCCTTGGCTCCCAGCGCATCTTCTTCTTTCTT